CTATAATTGCCCCAATAAATGACCTTTCTCGGGATGTGTGTTGGGGCTGTTATCTGGAACTGACAAATACCAATTTCATCAGGCATTTGATATTGCTGACTGGGCTAATGTTTGTTTCTAGGTTTTGCTTTTGTTGCATTTTTATTGTAATTCACTATGAATTATATATATAGTAAAATAAACAAGCTAAACTCTTTTTGGATGGACCTATTAACAGCAGTTTTCATTTTCTATGTCTATCATGTCCACATTCTTCCTGTGAGGGGGGGAAAGGAAGAATTGCTTGCCTAAATGGTGTTCTGCTTAAACAGCTATTTCTTTTTTCCTGGCAGTAGTGCAAAGGATAGTTATAAAAAACCATGTGGTCTGGACCAAGGAACTGAAATAGTTAATCCCTTGTGACCCTGGCTCTTTTGATGCTGGCTTCTGATCGCAAACAGAACATTTTTAAAGGGTCAGGTGTGCAAATTAAAGCTGCCTATGAGAAGCTTTACCTTATGCAACAGGTACTTAAACAGATAACCCAAGGTCCCAATGACCTTAGTAGAATCTTTAGCTAATCTTTCCATAAGGATGAGCAATTGTTGAATATCTCTAGCACAGACAGGCTTTCTACAACTCACAGTACACAATAGATAGAAATATTAAAAACTGAAGTATAAAAGAAATAGAAAACAAACATGCTATTTCAGTAGATATGTTCCAGATGAGTTGAATCCAGACTTGTTATATTTTAGGAAAGACCAACGGAAAGAAATGGGGCTTAATCATTATTTAAATAGGGTCTACTGATTTTAGTGGGTCTGCAGTAAGAAGAACTAAGTCATAATCCAACCCAATAAATTGATGTACAACTTACAGTAGATAAGACTAGAGAGCTATGCTTCAGATTAGTATGCTTCATTTGTGTTTTTGTGTCTGCACTTCTTCTGCATCATCCTGTCTCTGCAGCTCCACCCATTTGCCTTTGAGACACTCAAATATCTTATGACATGGTGGAGAGGCTGAGGCAGGAACTGGAAGACTCTTTGCAATCACACAGAAGTATAACGAGCAAAGAATGCTAAAACAGCATATTTAGGAATATCAACAGCAGCACGAAAAACATCTGCACAAATAATAATTGTGAGGCAATTCTTGGATCCCTCAGAGGTTAATATAACATTCAGGATGGTGGAGCAGGATGGTACAAGATCAAGAACAGGGAGGCATTAAAATGTTCCTTTGCTCTTTTGCAGACTTCAGTAATAGGAATAATGGTTTCCCCATATAAGCATAGGATAGAACTGAAAAACAAGTTGTAAAACTCAAGCAGAAAGGTTTAAGGATGCAAATCATTC